CTGGTCAGTGTTCTCTTAAAATTAATTTCACCCAGTGATTCTCCAGGGAACAAAGAGAAACAGAACTTAAAGATAAGCATGCATATTTATAAACATACTGAAGTTTATTTGTCTTTATGTTTTTTCTCCCAACAAAGAATTCTAAACTGTTGCTTAAGGCTTTTCAGCTTTAAAAAAATCTTTAAAAAAGAGGCCTCCTTCTGAAAAACTCAAAGATTGGTGGCCAATCTCAAAGAACAACAAAAAAAAAAAGTAAGCAAAAAATGTAAAATTTACTCTGCCTTCATAATTAAGTCAGCTTGAAATAAGTTTTCTCTAGAGTTTTAGCAACTATGAGATTCCTAATAAAAATTCATCAGAAGTTTAATATCCGGTCATAAGTTCAAAAAAAAAAATACTCAGACTTGCTTTTCTATGCTTATTGTGGGTTTCTCATTTAATTCCTTTTAAAAATACTAAAGTGGAAATCAAATAACATGCCAATTTGACAAGATCCTCCCACCTTCAGAAACAGGAAAAACAATAAATTGCTAGCACCAACCAGAAAGGATTGAATATCTAATTGACCCGAAGTTTAATGGAATAGCTGAACTAGGGTACTGTGGAGACAGGTGTTTCATAGGGGTAAAAATGGTCTAATTTATACAACAATGTTTTTTAAAGGCATACTTGGAACTACCGATTAAGTTTAAGAAAGAGTAATATTGCCAAGGGCTGGCACAAGTTAGAGGAAAACAGGCAATCTTACACACAGAGTTGGCAGCATTGGAAACTGGGTCCAACTTTCTGGAAGGCAATTTGGCAAAAGCCATAATAACAGATGTCCTCATTGACCAGGACTTCCACTTCTTGAAATTTATCTTAAGAAAATAAAGGAGGAGTGCCTGGGTGGCTCAGTCGGTTAAGTGTTCAAGCCTTGGTTTCAGTTCAGGTCGTGATCTCACGGTTGTGAGATGGAGCCCCGCGCCAGGCTCTGCACTGAACAGGGAGCCTGCTTGAGACTCTCTCTCTTCCCTCGTCTCTCTCTGCCCCTCCTCTGTTCACACTCTGTCTCTCTCAAAATAAACAAACTTTAAAAAAATAAAATAAAGATGTAATAAAATATTGTATGTTGATTTCTCGGCTGCTTCAAGTTAGAGAATATTGGAAGCAATGAAAATGCCTACCAATAAAGAATTATTTCAATAAATGGGTCTTTCTTCTCCCACCCTTGCCCACCCCCCTTCAGTCTATTCTCAACACAGTAGCATCATCTAATTAAAATGCGATGGCTTGACGGTTATGTCACTCCTGTGCTCAAAAGACTCCCATGGCTCCCCTTGCTCAAGATCAAAGCCAAATATCTACCATGGTCTAGTGCCACATTTTGCATGGTATAGGTTTGCCATTTAAAAGTGGCTCTTCCCTGAACAAGCGTTATGTGCTCCTGGTAACCTGTGATCTTCACCTTACACACAGAAGAACCTAGAATCTTAAGCAGCTCCCTTGTGAAGGACACTCCATTGGATATTCACCATGACAGACATCCTTCTGCATAACTTTTTTACATTTTCTCCAGAACTGTTTAGATACTGAACAGAAAGCTGTTTTTCCTAATCACTATCAAGTGACTATCATCTATCACCTGGACTACTGTGAAGCCGCTTACTCCATTTCTTGACAGCCAGCCCCTGTCCCAGCCACCCCAGTCCCCTCTAATCTATTCTCCACACTACATTCAATGTAATGTTTTTTTAAAAAGTGGTCATAATTTACCCACACTTAAAACTCATTGATGTGGGGCACCTGGGTGGCTCAGTTGGTTAAGCGTCCGACTTTGGCTCAGGTCATGATCACAAGGTTCGTGGGTTCAAGCCCCACGTCGGGCTCTGTGCTGACAGCTAGCTCAGGGCCTAAAGCCTGCTTCAGATTCTGTGTCTCCCTCTCTCTCTGACCCTCCCCTGCTCACACTGTCTCCCTCTCAGAAATAAATAAAACATTAAAAAAAATTAAAAAAATAAAACCCATTGATGCCATTTCTCTACAGATGAAGATCCAAATTCCTGGTGGTCAAGGTTCTAGAAGAGTACTATACAATAGAAATATATTATGAGCCACATATACAATTTTAAATTTTATAGTAGCCATAATTTTTTCCAAAAAGTTCAAAATGGATATTTCATTTTAGCCAACCTAACCAAAATAATTACTATCTCAATATGTAATTACTACTTCAAGTAGATCTTAAATATTCTCACTACAGATAACAATAGTAGTTATGTGAGGTGATGGATGTGTTAATCGACCTCATTATGGTAATCATTTCACAATATATGTGTGTGTATCAAATCATCACATTGTACATCTTAAACTTAGATGATGTTACATATCAATTCTGTCTCGATAAAGCTGAAGATATTCAGTTTTTCATACTGTTTGAAGTCTACTATAGTACATCTCAAGTTGGACAAGCCACATTTCACATGCTCTATAGCCCCATATAGTTATTAGACAGTGAAGCTCTACAAGGTCAAGATTACGCCCACCCCTTCAGCCTTTTCAGGCTATAGACATATTTAACTTTCAGGTGCTCAAAGTTGCCATTCTCTTTTTCCCAGTTCTTTATACATGTTGAGTTTTCATATAACAAATCATTTGAAAGAAGACAAATAACCAAATTTTTAAATGGGCAAAAGGTCTGAATGACATTTCACCAAAGGAGATATACGAATGGCCAACAAGCATATGAAAAATACTCAACAGCTTTAGTCATTAGGAACATGTAAACCAAAACCAAAATGAGATACTTGATACCACTTCACACCCAACTAAAATGGTTATAATTAAAAAGATCGACAATAACAAGTGTAGGCAAAAATATGAAGAAACTGGGACTCTCATATATTGCTGGTAGGACTGTAAAACGGTGCATGAATGGCACTCAGTCTCACCAACTCTATCCGTTGGCCCACACGGTGCTTAGTATTAGCCCTGCAGGCTTCACCATGGCTTGGATACCATGCTGTGTTCTCATGCTCAGCTGTGTTGTCCTAATGAGGTCATACTGACTTCACTAGAAAGCCCCTGAAATGAATACTGGCTCCAAGTCTTGCCCACTCAGGAGGCCCGGTTTCCAGAGTGGTGAGATATTACAGGGAGGTGAGGAAAGCAAGGGGTTTTAAGTCAGCAGCCCTGGGCCTGAGCCCAGCTCCCCCAGTCACTTACCCGTGTGAACTCACCAAGCTGCTGTACCATTCTGAGATGCAGCTTCTGCTTCTGCAAAAGCAGCTTTAAGAACAACTGCTCATTTGAACTTACCAAACAGCCCCGCACATCAAGACAGGCAGCCTGTAAGAATGTGCTCTGTAGCTAAAAATGTTCCAGGAGTCCAGAGTTGCTAACCATTGCCTTCCTTGCTGTTTTTCTTCTGCACTTTGCCCTACTATTTCAGTTGGCCCACTGGGATCTGCAAATTATCCCCCAGGTGCTGTAGTACAAGGAACTACCTGATCCCCTTCAATCCAACTGGAGAAATGTACATACATCTAGTAAAGTCTACATAAAGGGGCACCACCTGGTTAAGCACTTGATACATTTATTCTCTGAGTGTCTTACATGACCTTTTTCCAACTGCTGATCATACAGTGGCTTGATTTAAAATAAAGTGTGTTATTGCTAAAGTTGGCACAAAATCGGAGGGATGACATTTGTTCTTTTCTTTAAAGTTTTCCTGTATTTTTTCAATTTTCCACCAAAACCACATACGTTGCTATTTTGGGGAAAGGGTTGTTTAAAAAAAGATAAAGATAAAAGAAAAAACTTTAATGCTGATTCTATTTTAGACCAACCATATATAGCTAAAACTTTCAAAACACTTTGTAAGTGGTAGATTTTTGTTAAAAGAACTTTGTGTATATATGTGTGTATATATATTTTAGTTTGTTTATTTTGAGAGAGAGAGAGAGGGAGACGGACAGAGAGAGGGAGAGAAAATCCCAAGCAGGCTGCACACTGTCAGCACAGAGCCCGATGCAGGGCTCAAACTCACGAACCATGAGATTATGACTTGAGCTGAAACCAAGAGTCAGACATTTCACCAAATGAGCCACCCAGGTGCCCCAAGAACTCTGTATATATTAATCACCTCAACAACTCAAAAAAAAATAAAAATAAAAATAAAAAACAACTCTATGAGGTAGGTATTTTTTATTTTACTCCTTTTTATAGATAAGGAAATAGAAACCCAAACATCAAGTGTCTACCCAGCATCACACAACTAGTAAGTAATGGAGCTCGGATTTCAACTGTTAAAAAGAAAACCACAGGCCCCAAATGGAGTCACTTAGGCCAAGTCACCAAATCGGGGCTTAATACCTAACCATATTGCGGTTCCAACCTTGCAGAGAAATGTAGTCTTAACAGGTTAGTCAGGAATGTTCTGATCAGACCAAATGAGGTAATCTGTCTCATGTGCTCTCTCCATTCTGCTCCCCCCCCTAACTCCAGGAAGATGAGGAAATTCACCTAATAAGACCCCCTCCCCTTCTCCCTAAGGCAAGGTGACTTTGGAACAATCCTTTCTTTTCTTTTGCTAATAACTTCAATGCCCCACAATCTATCCTATAAAACCTTCCATTTTCTACAACTCCTTGCAGTCCCCCTCCATCTAGCATCCCTACTGCTACCTGATTCATGAATCATTTAATGAAGTCAATTAGATCTTCAAATTTACTCAGCTGAATTTTTGTTTTTTAACAGAATCCAAGTACCTCAGTGTCAGAGTTCATGCTTTTAACTAGTAATTTAACTAGTGACTAATGTTATCATCAACCATGGCTCTAAGGGTCCAACTGCACAAGCAGACTCCCTTGGGAAAAAAATCAGTGGTCTGTTATACGGGGGGATCCCCAAAGCAAGAACCGTGTTATCTGTTTCTGTAACCGTTAGCTTTTGCCCCATAACGAATGAGTCTGAAACGTAAGTACCTAAAAACTACAACAATCAATTTCACTCACAGTTCTGTGGATTGGCATTTGAGCTGGGCTTTCTTTTGCTGGTCTCCTGCTGTGCTTGGCTGAATCACGTCAGTTAGCTACTAGTCTGCAAGGCATCTCTGCTTCCACACGTTGGCTGTGAGCGTGGGCAACAGGAGCCCTGGGCCACTGGTCTCTCACCATCTAGCAGGCTAGTCTGACCTTCTTCACATGGCACCAATGACAGGGTCCCAAGAGCCTGAAGAGCAGATAAGCCCCAGTGAGCAACAGCTTCTCAGGACTCTGCTTATATTACATTTGCTACTGACCCAAAGCAAGAGCAAATCACATGGCCAAGCCCAGAATAAGTTTGGGAAGGGACTACCCAAAGGCATGATACAGAGGGATAAATAATTGATGACCACTTATGCAATCTACCAATATCTCCATAACCAAACACAGAACTAATAAATGTTTATTGAACTGAACCTTATTTCTCCTTCATGAAAAATCAAGGTTAAGACCAACCGTCTTTTCCATCTCTGCATTAAGGACACCCATCAAACAGATGGAAGAGTCTGACTGGCCCTCCTCACACAGGAACACCTCACTGTGGGTGACGGGGCCTATCACGGGACAGGCACCTCCTAATACAAGGTCTTCTCAGCTCTTGGGGTGAAAAGTGTGTTCTTCTTGGTGGCTGCTTCCCAAGCTCTTAGATTCACAGGACTTGCTCCTATCAGTGATTCTGATAGGAGGGACCCCCTCCTTCTCCCACAGCCTCTGTGGGGTCCCCTGTGGGACACCTCTATAAACCTGCTCCACTTTGCATTCCTGGTCGCCCTCTAGTGGCTCCTTAAGGTTGTTGAGCCATTTTAAGAAAAGTGTTCAAAACCATTCTACAACTATACCAAGAAGAAACAGTTGTGCTTGCTTTAGGTCAGTAGTTTTCAACGGGGGGTGGGGGGGGGGGTTGCTATTTTCCCCTAGGGAACATTCAGCAGTGTCTGTAGAGATTTTTGGTTGTTGCAACTGGGAGAAAGGTGCTATCGTCTAATGGGTAGAAACCAGGGATGGTGCTAAACATCCTACGATGCACAGGACAGCCCCGCCACACAGAATTATCTGATTCAAAATGCCAGTAGTGCCACGGTTGAGAAACTGCCTTAGATTCAGAGTGAGCCCTTGTCCATCCTAAGGATGCACCCACTGCCCCACCCAGGGTTATTACATAGCTGGGTGGATCACTCCCTTGGAAGAATCAATCTTTAGGCAACAACCCTAAATTCTTTCTGTGCAACTGAAATCTCAGGAACTATTTGTGTGGCATCCTAGAATTCCATAGATTAGACAGACAAACTACGTTCTAAATGGAAACTCAGTTACATGCAAGATGATCTTATTGTCTCTTTCCATTATCTATGCTCAGTCCTACTGATGCTGAGAGCAATTTTCTCAGAAAAAAGGAGTGCTTAAAGGTTTTTATTGTAAGCCAGTTAATAGCCTCAGGGAATAAAAATGGCTTCCAGTGGAGAACTGCATTATGGGACTTCTCTGTGAACCATGCAAACTCTTTGATAAAACGCACATTAGTTGCAAGGAGTAAATGACAGGCATTCAGTTTTAACAAAATGACATTTGTTTCACGGAGGAAGGGAATTTCTTACTGTCAGAAAGAACACCAAGTACCAAGGGAAAGAAAGCTACACAGACATTGATGGCTATGGCAGCTCTATGTACAAAAGCAGTAAGAAATGAAAGCCTTGATTCTAGATACCCATCTTACCATGGAGTTTTAACAGTGCTAATTAGAAGAGAGTAGCTGACATTTCCCTAGCATGAAAGATAAACTAAAGTATCGCCAAGAAACTCACGTCTGAAAATTTCTCAGAAGAATTCACTAGTAAAGGGGCTTTTTATTAACCCTGGACTCTATTCCGTACTTGTTCGCTTTCTTATGATCCTTTATGCTAGTAGCTAGGAACTTCCTCCTCACTCATCACCTGCAATTCCTCATTCGAGAGCGACACAGGGAGGGCAGGGAGGAAAAGAAGGGTCCATGGCTCCAGCTGTTCAACGCTTTGCTTTGAAACCCTTTCTCCACTTCTTCCCAGATTCCTCTCCCTGCCCTCCATCCCCATCTCCTCTCTACTTCCTCCTCGGCTGTCTCCATACCATGCCTGGAATGCCAATGTTGGGGAGACAGGTGCATCACTCCCTCCAGACCCACCTGGGTTTGCTGTGTGCCACAAAATCGATTTAGAACAAAAGGCCCTCGACTAAAGGTCATTCTCCTCATGCAAGGCCAGCCAGGGAAGAGCTGGCCCCTTGCAGGACGAACCCAGCTTCCCATGTGGACCTCATCCTCCAGCCTCCTCTAAGCCAGCTGCTCCCCGTGACTGCCTAGATGCTTCTAAGTGAGCTGTGGAACAGCTACCAAGTGTGCCCAGGACCAGGCCCTGGCAGAGGAGTTTCTCAACAAAACTTCCCCCATTTGCTTCCCAACTGGGATTCTGCCACTACTGGTTCTTATTCCAGAGGCTTCTAACTTCAGAGAAAAAACTTTAAGAAACCATGAGGCTGAGTTCTCCAGCCATGCTGAGAGCCACCTTTGGCTAAACTTCATTCATTTCCATTCTGTCACAGTAGAGTCATAATCTCTGTGTCAAGTGGTAGCTATGGAGTGTAAAGGGTAGAGACAGCTGACATGCTGGGACAAAAGGGTGGCCCAAATGTACACTGAAAAAAACATGAGCTTTTTGAGTCATAAGATTCTTTCTTAAGTGCATGTTGTATACCAGACACTGCACTGAGCACTATATACATTTTCTCACAGGCTAGCTGTGAGACTTTGGGCAAGATGGTTAACCTCTCTGTTTCTGTTTCCTTTGCCAGATACAAATAGCTACTTTACAGAGCTATTTTAAGGATTAGCTGAAATAGCATGTGGAAAGTTCTTGGCGCATGGTAGCTGTCCTAGTCAGCTCCGGCTACCACAACAAAATACCATAGACTGGGTGGCTTAAGCTACAGAAATTTACTTTCTCGCAGTTCTGGAGACTGGGAAGTCCAAGATCACGGGGCCAGCTGATTCACTTCCTGGTAAGAGCTCTCTCACTTGAGTTACAAGTAGTCAACTCCTCCGTATGTCTGCCTTTCTTCAGCATGTACACAGGGAAGGAGAGAGAGAGACCCCCATCTCCAAATACTGTCACGTTGGGGGTTAGGGCTTCATCACTGGGGAGACACAAACATTCAGTCCATAACGGTAGGCATTACATAAGCAGTAGCTATTATTACTATTATAGTTATTATTAATAAGACAGGTATCGACACTCAGAAAACAGCTACAATGGCATGGCTTAATCTAAAACAACAGAGTTCTCACTCTGGCTTGAGCACCCACTGACCTGAATTGATACTGGCAGAAAGTAAAGCATGGGATTCCTGGTGCCCCTTCTGAGACTCCCACCGCTGAAGCAGAGCTGAGCTATCTCGGCTTGCTGTGCCTTGAGGCCTCTGGCGAAAACCAGTCCACTATCACTGGTTAAGCACCAACGATCTGGGCAGGCTGCGGCTGTGCCTGCTAACCAGGGTCCTCATGACTGTCCACGGGGCATCCTCTATGTCCTACCGCATCTAAAGTGCGACAGTCCTTGCAGCTCCACTCTCTTCCAGGTGTGCGACTTGCAATCGTGGCTGCTCTTCCTGACCCTAAGGGTCCCGCAGCACCCAGGATCAAGCTTCCCTCCTCTTCAAACTTCTAAGCAGATGTCTCTACCTTCTCCTATTCTCTGATAATCCAATCAAGGTATGGGTTGTCTTCAGGGCAGCCTTTGCACCTCCCAGAAAATTCCTCCATTTCCAACCTGGAAAGGGTGAGAAGTATGTTTATTTCTACCTTTATGAACATCAACTTCAAGTAAGTAAGTCAGAAATAAATTTCTCAATCGTTTTCTCCATGATTTTCAAAAACTATTTACTGATAGAGAGACAAGAGGCTACAGAATTTCAAGAAATTCAGTCAAAGGGGAACAAACATCCTTGTTTTCTTCATGGAATATGGAATATAGTCTTTTATGGAATATCAACCTCATAGGTTCTTAGAGGCCATTTAATCTATACTTCCAGATGAAATGTTAAATTCTCTCAGTCACCTACGCCTTTGACCTCACCAAATGCCAGGAGAATGTCTGATAAAAGAGAACATCAAGCGGGATCTCAAGAAATCTGGGCTCTGGACCAAACTCAGTTTCTAACTGGGGTTTCAGCTTCCTTGTCTCTATCCTGAACATTCTGCAAAACTTCAAGAAACATGATCCTGGACTCCAAAGCGGTTACAGCATCTAAACATAGTATTCTGTTCTGGAGGGAGCCCCTTTTCCAAATGGACACTGTATTTCAAAGAGCAGAGAGAACCATCCTAACCATTCAGTCCAGCAAACACCGATAACCCACCAACAGCATTCCTGATGGGTTCAACGATTTCATAAGCCCTGGAGCACCTGTCATTTGTGTCCTTGTACAAGCTTATGAGATATATGCTCCTTTTATTTAGCACTGCATTCTTAGACCTTAGTCTTCTGCTATTGAAACACAGTGAAAAAGGGATACAATTCCAGTATCGGTAGACTACTTTCTTTGAAGGCAAATATCATCCCCTGTTTTATCACTCAAACATAATATATAATCTTCAGGCTGAAAAGTGGAAATGAGACACAAAAGTGAAGGCTTTCTCTGTGGTTGAAACATGACTCCTGCATTCAGATATAACAAAGTAGAACACATGATCTGGTATAAACCCTGTGATACCCCTCCTGTGGCACACAAGAATTCAGGAAGCAGACAGTGTGGGCTCCCCTTTTTCTTATGTGGAAGAGCGAATCAAACTGTGGGCCTCAGAGGGAAGTGGCAAAACTAAAAATACATTCACATCAGAAGTATTTATTGAGCTAGCCTGTGCCCCCACCCTGTGCTAGCCTGAAAAGCAGCAGAAGGGCAACAAAGTCCCTGTGCCCACCCTCACAGATCACAGCCTCTGTCCACTCATCACAAGCAGGATGCAGCAAATCTTTTCAGACACCATAAAGGATCCATCTGTACCAAAGAATTCATGAACATTTTACTGACTCTATTCTGAGGAGGTGAAGGAGGAAGTTACATTGCACAGCACACAACATGTCCCAGAAAATTTGCTATAAATATCTCTTCCCAAGTCTCTTCTCTGAGCCATGCAATTCCATTTTCCCTCCATCTCACACACCACCACCCTCTCCACTTATGTGGAAGATTTTAGCCTGTTCCTGACTTGTTCCCTTCAGTCTTATGTATCCCCACCCCATAGTGAGGTTGTAAGCTTCCTGAAGTCAGGAAACATGTTTCATACTTCTGTATGAAAGCACTTTTATTTTTAAAAATTTCCATTTGGGGCACCTGGGTGGCTCAATCGGTTAAGCATTCAACTCCTGATTTTGGCTCAGGTCATGATCTCATGGTTCCTGAGACTGAGCCCCCATGTTGGGCTCTGTGCTGGTGGCACAGAACCTGCTTGGTATTCTCTCTCTCCCTCTCTCTCTGCCCCTTCGCTGCTCACACACATGTGTACTCACTCTCTTGCTCTCCCTCAAAATAAATTTTAAAACTTAAAAAAAAATAAAACAAATCAATAAATCTCCATTCTTTCCATAGCAGCAGGCTGGGGATAAGCAGCTGTGGAGAGCTGGAGGCACCCGTGAATGCCTTCCCCTCAGTAAAATCACTTCCCACACGTAAGCAATACTAACTGTTGCCTGGGAACACACAAGACTGGAGAAACAAGCGGGGACAGCAGGACGAAGGAGAGGAATGGAGAAGGGGGAGTAGCCCGGACTAATAGGTGCGGTGGGTGGTGATTTCTGCGTTAAAACCAGGGAGTTTAATGGCTGAAAGGAGAGACATTAGCAAGAGATATTACAGAGATTCTTTGAGAGACATGGGTGTGTCATACAATGTACATCAGAACCTGGCATAGACTGCGGGTTTTACATGCAATGAGGGAGTAATGACAGCACCAGAAGTAATGACAGTTGCCCAAGTGTGAATGGTGAGGGCCTACGTAAGGATGACAGTAGGGAATACTCTGAAATAAGATGTCAAAATTTTACGTTTTTTTTTTAACATGACTGCATAACAATTTATAAAGGTCTCCCACCCTAAAACCACTTTCTTCCCTCCCTCCAAATATTCTTTGCATCTATCAAGGCTCAGATCAATTTCCATTTCCTCCAAAAAGCCATCTCAAACCTTCTGGCCAACAACTCTTCCCTCCTCTCAACTTGTAGATATAATTCGCATTGTTGAGCTGCTGTCTTTGAATCCTCCCATCTATCCAATATGTTATTATGGAACTAATCCTTAACCACAGCTTTCATCATGCCAATATCTCTACCAAAAAAACTCACTAGCTTCTCTCTAGCAACAGGACTTTTTAAACATTGAAGAAAATCAGTCCCTGATGACCATGTAAAATTTATTCTGCAGATATCAGCACAGTACCTCTCTTATACAAGCCCTTTCCCAGAGCTTCAGTGAATGTGGCAATCAGTCACACATTCCATTCCTTTCTCATACTATTTCACAATTTAGATCCTGTCCTTCTCATCTACATGCCAATTCAATACAGCTTCTGAAAATCCAGAACCACAGGATACAAACCTTAAGGCAATATACTAATGTTTTTCAAAGTCTACCATAGCCTAACCATCAAAGAGTTACTCACTGCATCTTCCACAGACATATGTAAATGTTAATAAAAGGATTATAAATTCCCCCTTTGGGACTCTATGAGGGAAATGTTGCAAGGCATACAAGGTACAAGAGACACCACCACAAGCGTGAATCCTACAAAGAACACAACGACACTAAACCCATATTGTTTAATAATAACATTGAATGTAAATGGACTAACTGCTCCAATCAAAAGACATAGGGTGGCAGAATGGATAAAAAAACAAAAACCTTCTATTTACTATCTACAAGAAACTCATTTTAGACCTGAGGACACATTCAGATTGAAAGTAAAGGGATGGAGAAATATCTATCAGGCTAGCGGAAGTCAAAAGAAAGCTGGAGTAGCCATACTTATATCAGACAAACTGGACTTTAAAGTGAAGACAGTAACAAGGGATGAAGAAGGGCATTATAGAATAATTACAGGGTCTATCCGTCAGGAAGAGCTAACAATTATATAGAGGTCTATGCACCGAATACGGGAACACCCAAATACATAAAACAATTAATCACAAAAAGAAACTATCTTATGAATAAGAATGTGCTAATAGCAGGGGACTTAGTACTCCACTTATAGCAATGGATAGATCAACTAGACAGAAAATCACTAAAGAAACAATGGACTTGAATGACACATTGGACCAGATGGGTTTAACAGATATATTTAGAACTCTACATCCTGAGGCCATGGAATTCACTTTCTTAAGTGTGCATGGCACATTCTCCAAGATAGGTCATATACTGGGTCATAAAGCAGTCCACGACAAATATAAAAGAATCGAGATCATACCAAGCACAGTTTCAGGTCACAATGCTATGAAACTTGAAATCAATCACAGGATAAAGTCTGGAAAACCTTCAAAAGCACGGAGGTTAAAGAACACCCTACTAAAGAACAAATGGGCCAATCAGACAATTAGAGAAGAAATTTAAAAATATATGGAAACAAATGAAAATGAAAATACAACAATCCAAACTGTATGGGATGCGCCAAAGGCAGTCAGTCCTAAGAGGAAAGTACATTGCACTCCAGGCCTATTTCAAGAAATTAGAAAAAGCGCAAATACAAAATCTAACAGTGCACCTACAGGAACTAGAAGGAAAGCAACAAGAGCACCCAAACCCAGCAGAAGTAGAGAAATAATAAAAATCAGGGCAGGAATTAACAATATAGAATCAAAAAAAAACAAAACAAAAAAAAAACACTTGAACAGATCAATAACACCAAGAGTTGTTTTTTTGAAAAAAATAAACAAAATTGATAAACCTCTAGGCAGGCTTCTCAAAAAGAAAAGAGAGAGCACCCGAACAGACGAAATCATAAATGAAAATGGACTTACTACAACCAATCCCTCAGAAATACAAGCAATCATCAGGGAATACTATGAAAAATTATATGCCAACAAACTGGACAACTTAGAAGAAATGGACAAATTTCTAAACACACACACCCTACCAAAATTCACACAGGAAGAGATAGAAAATTTGAACAGACCCATAACTAGTGAAGAAACTGAATTAGTTATCAAAAATCTCCCAACAAATAAGAGCCCTGGGCCAGATGGCTTCCCTGAGGAATTCTACCAGACATTTAAATCAGAGTTAATACCCATTCTTCTCAAGCTATTCCAAAAAATAGATGGGAGGAAAACTTCCAGACTCATTTTATGAAGCCAGCATCACTCTGATTCCCAAGCCAGACAGAGATCCAGCAAAAAAAGAGAACTAGAGGCCAATATCCTTGATGAATACGGATGCAAAAATCCTCCACAAGATACTTGAAAATCTAATGCAACAGCACATAAAAAGAATTATCCACCATGATCAAGTGGGATTTATTCCTGGGTTATAGGAGTTCAATACTCGCAAAACAATCAATGTGATACATCACATTAACAAAAGAAAAGATAAAAACCATATGATTCTGTCGATAGATGCAGAAAAAGCATTTGACAAGATACAGCATTCCTTCTTAATACAGACCCTCTAGAAAGTCGGGATAGAAGGAACTTACTTAAACATCATAAAAACCATTTATGAGAAGCCCTCAGCTAACATCATCTTCAACGGGGAAAAACTGAGAGCTTTCCCCCTGAGATCA